ACCTTCTTTAGCCCTGCAAAATTCATCAGAACCTATTGATGGGTTTTGAAGGTCCGGGGAGGGTTGGAGTCATTAGCCAACTTCCTTTCTGAATATCTTGACATTTTTACCGTAAAACGCATTCATCTAATGAGGTGCAGAACCAATTACACTCCGCTGGCAGATTGTGTGATTTCCTCCCTCATCAATACTGGAATCACCTGCTCCACCCAGCAGAAATGTCAGCTCCTCAGATGTGAGCAGCCACCCTTTAAATGTAATCACTTGCCTATTGATCCGTAATTGCCAAGTGTTAGACCATGCAGGGGAAGAGTGCCACCGGTGCATTTGCTGTTCAGCTCCAGAAAACACTTCTCCCCCCAAGGGTGTGCACTTTTTTTACTGCAAATTAAACCGAGTGTGGTATGAAACTGCACCAGAGGTGCAGTGTTCGCGATGCTGAATGTACTTCACAGAAAAATGGACAAAAATGTAACCAGATGTGTGTCACCATGTGTAAACTGGAGGTGAAAGTGTGGATCAATGTATTCAGTATACAGCAGTAAGCAGTCATGTACATGTACATGTATGTGAATTCCCTTGAGTCTTTCAGATGTGTGCGTACGTGTACATTGTGTGTTTGTGCGTAAATGAAATGTTAATGATATATACATGTATATGCGTAATCAAAAGACAAAATACGTACACATGTACATGTATGCAAGCAAAGGGTGGAGAAACAATGATTATCTGGAAATAAACATGTACATGTATGTACACGGTGTACTCGTAGGACATGTATGTTCATGTACATTGTAGTATTGTGCATGCTTCATTTCACTACATTACGGTTTATGAGACATGTAAAAGACCAGCTACGGTACCATGCTACATGTAGTAGGCCTGGCCTACATTCATACATTGCTTGTTGTGGTGAGGTGTATGTGCATATGTACATACATGTACAGGTACATGTACATTATTTGCATTGAACAGAAAGAACCGAAAATTCCGTGTTGCGATGCATAGACACGTATGCATTGTACATGTACAAGTATTGCCTCGAACACACGAACAAGGACACAATTGACGATGTCTGATTCATAACTGGCAGCATAATCAGCTTTTCCTGGATGAAACCGTCAAGTACATGTACATGTACCATCAGTTCAAAGGAACAATAAGAAATCCGGTGTTAATACAGTGTCACCCACCTTCTCCGTTGACTAATTGAAGGGGTCTGGCACTGTGCACAGGAAGTACAAACTACATGTACATGTAAGTTTGGTTTTACGTAATGTGTATATCCGATTTTCCCCCTCATAGTATGTTTAAATTGTCAGGCACTTTAAGGATCTATTATGTGAATTTTAGTTTTAAAACAATCTATGTGCAACTTTCTACTCTTAAGATGTACATGTAAGATGACTACACACGTCTGCGTGTAGCATCTCTTGTTGATTACTCTCATTGGAAATGTTTTTGAGGCTTTTCCTGCCAAATAAGGGCATTTGCTGTATTTCCAGTATAAAAAGACACTTTTCCTTTTGGGTGTTCAAAATAAGTACCCAAAATTTGTTGGAAAACTATTGAATGTACTGTCATGAACTGAACTGACAACAAATAATAAAAGTAAACTAAACTAAACTAACAGTACAGTTATGACAGAAAAGTCAGGCAAGCAACACCACAAAAATAGCTCTACCACAGTGACACCATGTATTTTATATGTATATGTACATTGCACGCTGAGGTGTCTACCTTGGATGACATCACAGTTAGCTCATACATGTAAAATGTACAGATTTGCATGGGCATAATAATCTAAAGGATAAAGAAACTGTAGAATTGCATGATGGAAATTTAGAATTGGGTTAAGTAGTGGATTATTTAAAAATGTGAAATGTGTGAAAAATTGCATGTTTCCTTTAATGTTTGTCTTTTTTCTGTGTTAATTATTATTCAAGTTTCTTGCATGCATGTACATGTACATGTACATACTGTGTGTATGTACAAGTATGTACGTGACATGGATAACACACAACCAAGGCGATGCATGTACCTGTGTCTGATATTACTGGCAGTTCCTCTTTTCTAGAAGAGGTCAGGTTTCCATGATGAGTTTTAAATCTGATTCATTTCAAATTATTATTATTTTTCCCGTACATATCCCCCCTGTTGTCTCGTGTTTTTT